AGACTCAGGAGGCCGGGTGATACACACATCATGTGGCTTTGATGCACTCAAACGGAAGTCAAGGGCAGTCCGCAGGGGGCAGAGTCGAGATGAAGAGAGATTCAGAGAGGGTGGAATGTGCAAAGGACACACAGCCTGTCCCCAACAGCCATTGCCCATGGTCAGCACAGAGAAGGCACTCAGTAAACCTACAGCCCACCATACCTTTAGGTGCCCATGAAAAATGTTTTAATTTCTTTTAAAATCGGAAGAAAAATGAACTTTAACTCAAAGAAAATGTTTTCATATATGTTAATATATTCAACTTTATATCAATGTTGTCATAAAATAGAATTTTTTATGGAGAAAGGGGTCCATGAAGGCAAAGCTGACTAGGGCCCATGAAAGTCATAACGGGGCCCTGGTTGGGTGCCCAGCCTGGGACTGCATAACACGAGGCCAAGGTTAGGAAGGACGCTACTGCAGGGAGTGCTGGAGCCAAGGGAAGCCAGGGAAGGGGCAATCAGGAGGCCTTCCCGGAGGAGGTGGATGTCCAGGCTGAAGGAAGGAAAGATGTGTCAGGCAGTCAGCGTGCCACCGGCAACTGGAGCCAGGCTGGCAAGGCCTGGAATGGCAGGTGAGGGAGATGGGGCTTCCTCCACCGGAGACAAAATATTCTGAGCAGGGCCTGAGGTGGGAAGAAAAAAAGGAAGGCCACGGCAGAGTGAGGGTGAGTGTGGTGAGTGCGGCCCAGGGCTGGAGGCTGAATGGTGGAGCCCTCCCCAGAGTGGGCAGGAGCGGACAGGAGTTGAGTTGAGGGTCAAAGGTGAGGTGTCCAGGGGATAGTCGCCAGAGAGACTGTCCAGGAGGGTGGCCTTGAGGCAGAGGTTGGAGGGAGCATGGGGCTGAGTCTGGGGCCAGGATGGGGAGTGAGTAGAAAGTGACCCCAGAAGCCAAGTCCCAGGGATCCCGGGGAAGGGGAAAGGGGTAGCCGAGAGGTTCATTCGCAGACATGCATGTACACAGATGCACACACACCGAGAGGGCGGCAAGAAACGGGAGAAGGATATTTAATAAAATTGCAGGAAGTTGGAGGTGGGAGGTAGAGACAGACCCACTGGCACAGAGATCCAGCCGCAGACACACGCACCCACACACACACACACACACACACACACACACACACACACGCAGGACAATCAGAGAAAGAGAAGGGCATTTAATGAGACAGCAAGGGGGAGGCGTGGCGGCAGAGGCAGACACACAGACATTTGGACAAATGGACAGAAGGCAGAGCCCTGGATCCCACGGGACATGCTCTGAGGGAAGCACAGCCCAGCACTGGGTGGGAAAAGCCCCAGGGAGGGAGGGCTGGGGAGACTGGGATGGACAGACAGACGGACAGAGCTCCATCTCCCAGCCTGATTCCCCCACCCCCATGCCACCCCCCCATCTCCATCTCTATCTCCGTGTTTCTGTCTCTGTCAGTCTCTCTTTTTCTCTCTGCAAACCACAGCTTTTTGGAGCCCCCAAGAGAAAAATGGGAAAAGAAGACAGAGATGAGAGAAAAAGACGAGGGACCATGTGTGTGCGGGTGTGTGTGTGTCCAGCACAAGGTCTAGTTGGAATTTTAGGAGGTAGGGAGGAGATGAAAGGAGCAGAGGATGAGCAAAGAGACCAACAGCAGCACGGAGCCGCAGCCTGGAAGGACCAGCAACACGCACGTGCCCCGAACACTGCACACATCACACACCCATTGCACACACTAGAAGTGCAACTGGTGGAAGGGAGGTCAATGAAACCATGGAGAAAGGAAGACAGGGAGGGGGGGCTGAAAAAGAGCCGGCACAGGGGGCCTGACACAGATCCACAGGCGAGCACGTGCACCCACACGGGCGAGCAGGGCTGCAGCAGGATGGGGCCCAAGGTTCACCTTTAGTGTAAGTTTTACATATGAATATGTGAAAGAATCGATAGGCCAGCAGCCCAGAGTGGCAGCCAGTAACTATGGGCCAGAGGAGGAGAGACAGAGAGAGAGACAAGGAGACACTGAAGCCACTGTACAGAGCACAGGCGACAGGCCCAGATGGACACACACCCAGAAACATGCCCCATCGTTTCTAGGTGGGAGGGAGGGGGTAGAGAGCACAAATTACAGTCTTCTTGTATGTGCTTTTCTGTATCTTTCCTACCCTACTATAAGGAATTTTTTTTCCCATGGGGGCAAACATCATCTTACTTTTCTCAAAAAGAAAAAAAAAATGCATGTAGAGTGAGAAAAACCACTGAAACCAGGAAGGGAAGGCGGCGGGGACGAGGGCGGTCCCAGGGCCTCCAATCGCCTGAAGTGGGCTGGAAACTGAACAGGGCAGCAGAAGCAGGAGCAGGCAGAGGGGGCAGTGAGATGGTGGTCCCAGCAGAGTAGACGTCACTCGCCTTTTCGCTCTTTCTCTTGAAGAGTCGAGCAAAAGCAAACTGAACAGGGCTTCCCTGGTGACACAGTGGTTGAGAATCTGCCTGCCAATGCAGGGCACATGGGTTCAAGCCCTGGTCTGGGAGGATCCCACATGCCGCAGAGCAACTAAGCCCGTGAGCCACAATTACTGAGCCTGCGCGTCTGGAGCCTGGGCTCCGCAATAAGAGAAGCCGCGATAGTGAGAGGCCCGCGCACTGCGATGAAGAGTGGCCCCCACTCACTGCAACTAGAGAAAGTCCTCGCACAGAAACGAAGACCCAACACAGTCAAGAATAAATTAATTAATAAACTCCTACCCCCAACATCTAAATAAAAAAAAAAACAAGCAAACTGAAAGAGGCCCAGAGTGAGGAAGTCAAAACCAGGGGAGCCAGAGACAATAGGTGGGAGAGACAGAGCAAACTCCTGCCTCCCTTCTCTGATCAGACAGCACCCCGGTGTGCTAGATCTGGGTGCATCAGCCAGAATTTCCCCAGCCCCTCAAGCTCTCATTCTAGGGGGGGAGCTGTGTGAATGGCCGTGACCACCCTTGCAAGTTCCAGGGGATCAGGGAAAGCGCCCAGAGGTGGTCTGTGGCCTTTGAGATGTTTTGAAGGATGAAGAGGAGTTTGCCAGGTTGCAAAGAGGAAAGAAAGGGCACTCTAAGTCGTGGAAACAGCCTGGGCAAAGGCACGGAGGTGTGAGAGGGTCTGGAGGAGAAGCAGAGCCGTACAGAGATTGATAAGGAAATAAAATCTGAGACGGAGACACAGAGAGAGAGAGACTAGAGAAATAGAGACGGCCACGAGGCACAGAGAAAAAGAGAAACTAGCAACAGTGAGAAACAGACACATACAGAAACGGAGACAGAAAATCAGAAGCACACAGAGAAAGACCAATTAGTGCGGGGGGAGGGGGTTTAGGGAAGAGGAAAGAAACACAAAAAATTGTGAAGACAAGAGAGCCAGGGCCAGAGAGCCTGAGACAGAGCTGAAGAGGCACAGACAGACAAAGAGAGACAAAGACGGAGGAGGCAGAGAGAGAGACACACACGCATTGAATCACTTGGCGAGACCGGCGAGAGATGGAGATAAAAGGGTCTCGGGGCTTTCCCCGGCTCGACCCGCGGCTCACCACCGCGCAGGCGCGCTCCCGACCCGCCGCGGTAGCGCGGACGAGCGCTTTGTCCCCGCCGGGGCTGGGGCGCGTCCCCGGGCTGGGCTGCTCGCAGGTGTCCTTGCGCCCCCCGGGTGCATGGGGGCCCTGGCGGAGCGGCCGGCGCCCCGTGCACGCCCTGAGCCCACAAGCATCCACGCGGACACACACACTGCCCCGCGCAGACAAGCAGAGCCCCGCCACACACATCGGGGCACGCGCCCCCGGGGGAGCCCACAGATTCAGGCAGAACCACCTAGAGTGGTGTCCCCGCAGTACACACAAATCTCTGCACACAGGGCCAGGAAAAACAGGTTCACACATCTGGACGTCCAGACTCACAGGCCACCTGGACACGTGTCCACACACCAACACAGACACCCATGAGCAAACAGGGCCACACGCATACCCCAGTGAACACAAAGGCACACACCCACAAGCGCACACTCACACCCATGCTCCTACCTCTGCTCCCAAGACACATGTACACCCATGGGGTCTCCAGGTGTCCATTCTGACCGGACATTGTGGGATTTGGCTTGTGAAAATGACAGTGAACAGAGAAACATCCTGATTTTGAAATCTTTTTTTAATTATACAGATTAAACAGTGTTACTACGACCAGAGGTAACTTACATGGATCAGTGTGTGATCTGATATAAAAGACATTTCTTCCTATAGACTGTTGCAAATGAACTTCCCAGATTGTGTGCCTTGGTGGAGGGGAGAAGGGAGGAGAGGAAGGGTCTTTGGATTTTTCTCCAGGGTGCCCAGGGCTTTTGCTAACCCAGTCTCACCAACCCCCCACCCACCCAGCCCAGCACTCCTGGGAAACACACAGCATGCACACAACCGCATCTCCCTGTGAGGACATCCACAACTCCACAAGGGCCTGACAGCCCTGCGGGGTCCCCAGAGTGTCAACTGCCACCATCCACCCAGGGCAAAGAGTCTTCAACTGCTCACACTTCCTGCTCACAAGCCCTGGGCTTCGCCTGGTGCATCTCAGACATAAGCAAGGTTTCTGCCAGGCAGTCACTCCCCAAACTCAGGGATGGATGTGCACACACAGGCGCATTCCAGAGATCTCCAATCTGATTATGTCCCTCTCTGGCCTCAAGCCCCCCAGCCACCAATGCTGCCTGCACAAAGGCCCCTCTGACACAGTCTGTCCTCACATCCCACCCCCTCTCACTCTCCAGCACACAATAGATACTCAAGAAACCGCTGACCAAACTCTGAGGTCTGTTTGTGTTTAATCAGACAATATGCAAAGTATTTACAACCAATTCCAAATCCCCCCTCCCCCCACAGGCCTCGGCCGTGGAACGCAGGAACCCCAGGCCCTGCCCAGAGCCGGGGGTCCCCTAGGCCTCTGCATAGTCATCTGAAATCTAGAAAACACTGTTTGTTTAAAAAAAAAAAAAAGACAGTATTAGGACACCTTATACAAAGGACACTGGGCAGTCAGAAGGGGATTTGGGAGCGCGCTGGGGTAAGTGAGTCCAGATTCGACTGGGACGGAGACAGGACAGGAGAAGACTTGGGTAATAAACATGTATGAAAGGAAAAGTTGAAATTTCATAGGCAGGCACCACTTGGCCTCCCTCCCCACTGGCAGGGCCTGGCTGGCTCGAGAACCCCTGGCAGCAGGAACGTTATTGCTATGATGGGGGGCTGTGGGTGAAATGTACAACAGGTCTGGGGGACAGAGCAGAGGGCGTTTTTACATGTTAAATATGAACACACATGGAGGAACATACACGTGCACACACACACACACACACACACACACACACGCACACAGGGGCCCTTGGCAAGATGCCTACAAACTGTTGGCTGCCCCATTTAAGAAGGACACACTGAGGTCCAGGGAGAAGCCACCACATAGCCCAAGGGCCAAAACACGGTCTCCTGATGCCATGGGCTGAGCTCACCACGTGATGCCAGGCCACAGGGTCTGGACAGGAGTGGAGCAGTTGCAGAGGCCATGGCCTCAAATGGAGGCAGACAATGCAGCCCAGAGAAGGAAGCAGGGGCTGCCCGAGGGCACACAGCCAGTCCTGGTGTGTGGCAATAGACACCCCAGTCCTCTCTCCTCACCCCAGTCTAGGCACTCCTTTCCGTACTCGTGAGTTAAAGGTGCCAAACTGGGGAGAAGAGCAGGGGCCAGGCGTTGAAATGACACAGGACAAACTGGGTGAAGGAGGACCTGGGGTTCCTTCCTGAGGCCAGGGCCTCCCAATCATTTGGATCTTCTATTTCTGCTTGATTGCCTCCAGAGCCGGTGAGCTCACTCTCTTTCATGATTGACTAGCTCCAAAGGTCAAATACCTCCCACCTTCTGATTGAAACCTGCCTCCCTACCCTTGTACCATTCATTTCTAGCTCAGCCCCACATCTACCTCCACTCTCTCCCCCCACAATAGCCCACTGAGCAAACAGAGGCAGCAGGACTCTCTCTGCTACCTCTAACCCGTCCTCAGGCCCCTTGTCCCCTGGGCTGCCCCAGTCTGTCCACAGTGCCTCAAAGGACAATCCTGTTGGTTCCTGAGGAAGACAGAGGGAGCACCAGGTTCCAATCCCACCTCAACCCTGAACTGCTCTGTGGCCTTGGGCAAGTCATATCCCCTCTCTGGACTCAGTTTCCCCATGGGTAGTATGGGGACAAGGAATTGAAGATCTCTAAGGATCCCTCAGGTCTAAGAAGGGCAGGGTTTGAGGGAGGTGTCCACCCCACCCACCAGCAACAAGTCAAGCTAGGCCTCACCAGCCTGGGAGCCACAGCAGAGGGGGCTGGACCCAGCAGCCTCCACCAACAGGCGTTTCAGAAATGGATGGCAAGGAGCAGGGTGGCAGGCAGGCCGAGGGCTAGTGGCCCATCACTCCTCTTTGGAAAGGCTCTTTGGCTAGCTCTGCAGACAGACCTGGGGTGGCGTGGAAGTGGGAAAGGGCCAGTGCGTGCAGTAGGTTGAGGCTAAGAAAAGGGTGCCCTCAGCCCGGCCCTTCTTCCCAGTTCCTCCTGCTGAGACGCACAGAGCTCCAGGAGGGAACGCAGGGAGGAGGTGTGCGGCTGGCCAGGGGCTGGGGCACAGTCACTGCGCCAGCCTTGGACCCCGCCCCCAGGGCGGCCCCAGGCCCCAAGCCCTTCCATGCCACAAAAGAGGGAGGGGCCTCGTCACTGGCAATTCAGCCCCACAGAGAGGATCAACGGGGGGCGGACAGGCAGAGGCAGGCAAGACCCCACGTCAGGGGCCACCCAGCTCAGGATCCAAGCCAAGAAGGCAGTCTGGCCCTGTAGCCCACGCCCTATAGGTTCTCTCCGGGCTGGTACTGGGGCTCGGTGGACGTGAAGTAGTCCTCCAGGAAGGCCTGCAGGTACTCAAAGGTGGGCCGCTCCTCTGGGTCCTTCCGCCAGCACTGGCACATGAGGTCATGCAGAGACTCGGGACACTCGGGCGGGCAGGGCATCCGGTAGCCCCTCTCCACCTGGTCCAGCACCTCGCGGTTCACCATCCCTGTGGGCAGAGGGAAGCATGAGTAGGCTGGCCCCACTGAGGAAAGTGGGGCAGAGGGAAGTTGATGGGAACAACAGAGAGGGCTTCCTGCCTAGGAGAGGGTGGCTGTGACCGTGGCTAAGGCCCCCCCCCCCAAGGGTGGGAGCCCTCACCAAAGACAGAGCCTAAGATCAGATGGTCAACCTCTTTGTTATACAGATGGGGAAACTGAGGCCCTGGACGGGGTTTGACTTGCCCAAGGTCACCTGAGAGGGGTCACCAGGGCAGGGGCAGAAGGACCAAAGATGGGCTGTGGGGAGCCCTCTTACCGGGGTAGGGCACCCGTCCCTTTGTCGTGAGCTCTGTCAGCAGGATCCCAAAGGACCACACATCTGACTTGATGGTGAACCGGCCATAGAGGGCAGCTTCTGGAGCCGTCCACTTGATGGGGAATTTGGCACCTGCAGGACCAAGAAGGGTCGGGGGAGCTCAGGAGAACATCATGACCGCTCTGCCAGATAGGCACCGTTCTTATCCCCACTTGACAGAGGAGGAAACTGAGGCTCAGAGAAGGGGTGTGACTGCCCACGGCCACATGGCATCTGCCGGGAGCCTCTGCCCACCTTGCCGGGCTGTGTACTCATTGTCTTCGATGAGCCGAGCCAGCCCAAAGTCAGCCACTTTGCACACGAGGCTTTCTCCAACCAGGATGTTGGCAGCGCGGAGGTCTCGGTGGACATAGTTCATCCGCTCCACGTACGCCATGCCTGAAGCGATCTGTAGGCAGAACCCAGGAGCCTGGCTCAGGGGCCACCCCTTGCCCTTCCCAGATCACAGCGCACATGCCCAGGGGTGGTGTTATCCCCAGGAGTGGATAGCCAACCAAATGCCCCACCCTTCCCAGTTCTTCAGGCAATGACGTCAATTTACAATAAATACTGTTGGCACAAAAAGCAGGACCAGTGCCCAGCAGGAGGAGGTAGCATAGGGCAAAGGACAAAAGGGAGGCACAAGACAAGATGCAGCCAGGGAAGTGGGGTGACCATGCAAAAGAGGCCCCAGATGCTCCCAGAGACACAGATGAGTGTCAGGTCCTGCCTGTTGTCCCAAGTACCCTCCCTGAACCTCAGTTTTCTCACCTGTCAAATGGAATAATAGCCATCTCTACCACCTGGTTGTATTAAGGATTAAATTAAAAAGTAGTTGTTGGGGCTTCCCTGGTGGCGCAGTGGTTCAGAGTCCGCCTGCCGATGCAGGGGACACGGGTTCGTGCCCCGGTCCGGGAAGATCCCACATGCCGCGGAGCGGCTAGGCCTGTGCCATGGCTGCTGAGCCTGCGCGTCTGGAGTCTGTGCTCCGCAACAGGAGAGGCCACAACAGTGAGAGGCCCACGTACCCCCCACCAAAAAAAAAAAAAAAAGTAGCTGTTGAGCACTGCCTACAGCAAGCAAGTACTAATACATGTTTGATGAGTGACTGACATTGACAGAGAAGAAAACTGAGGTCTGAGGTCCCATAGCAAGTCAGTGACTCCTGATGCCCAGGTAAGGGCTCTTTCTTCTGCCCGAACCACCACTCACAGCACCTGTAAGTGGTCCCAGTAATACATGGGATGAGATCAGTGAGTGTGGGGCAACCAAGACAAGTTCCTTGGAGGGGGCACTCAAGAGGCCAGACATGGCTGAACCAGGTGGGTCAGAGAGCTCAAGGCCAGGTGTGGGAGCGGGGAGGGGCTGGCTCACCTGAGCAGCCATGTCCACCAGCTGAGGCAGCCGCAGGTACTTGCCTGTCTCCCCCTTGAGAAAGTCCAGCAAACTCCCTGGAGAGAGAGAAGGCAGCTCTAGCCCCCACCCTGTCCTCCCTGAGCCAGGAAGCAGTGACTCCCAGATCTCGTCCACCGGGGCAGGCTGGCCTCACTTTAACCACACAGCAGATTTTGTGCAAACCCACCTCTGAATAAAGTCTGTGTTTGTCACTTAAAAGGCAAGCAGGATGGGAAACAACCAAATGTCCGCCTCTAGGCAAACAGAAGTGTGGTACGGCTATACTACGGAATACTAGTCAGCAACAAAAAGGAACAAACTACTGAATCACACGACAAGAAGGAAAACCCTCGGATGTAAAAGATGTAGCTATACGAAATTCTAGAAGAAACAACTCTGCGAAGACATTAAGCCCATCAGCGGCTCTGTGGGTTTGGGGCTGGAGAGCACTACCTGCAAAGGGGTACGAGGGCGCTTCCGGGGGTGACGGCCGTCTATATCTCGGTTGTGGTAGGAGATACACAGCATAGCCATTTGTTAAAACTCACCGAACTGGACGCTTAAAATGGTGTATTTTATCCCATGTAAATTATACCTCCAAAAAGTAGAATTTTGAAAAATAATTAATTTCAAAACCAAGTAAAAGTCAAGCCAGGAATTTGACCCAGATGTGCTGTGGCTCAGCTTGGAGGATTCAGGGAGTTCTCCTTCCAGCCCCAGAACGGCAAATGGCTTTACAAAACCAGCAAATGGGGGGACATAGATGCATCGTGGGAAATCATTAAAAACAAAATGAACGGAGAAAGGCAACCTTTGGTTTAACTTTCCATTGACATGGGAAGTTGGTTCTTTCCATTCATTCCACCTTTAAAGGCGTATGCTCTAGATGTGGTGGGAGGTGAAGCACATCCCACCTGCCCTTTTGTGAGGACCCCAGCCAGGGGTCACCCATGTGTCCGCACCATCACGCAGGCCTCACCCTTGCTCATGTACTCCGTGACGATGTAGATGGGCTCCTCAGACACCACCGCGTACAGCTGCACCAGCTTCTCATGCCTCAGTTTCTTCATGACCTGGGCCTCCTGAAGGAAGGCCTCCGGAGACATCGTGCCGGGCTTCAGAGTTTTGATGGCCACCCTGGTGGTGCCATTCCAGGTCCCTGCATGGAAAGGGGTGCAGGCTGCCTCAGGGGAGGACCCCCATTCTCACCCCACAGGGACCAGGATCTGCCGGCCTGGGTACCAATTTCAGCTCTGGCCTCCCAGGCCACATGACAAGCCAAGCCAAGGCCCAGCCCCTTTCTGGACCTCAGTGTCCCATCTGCAGACGGGCAGGACGCTCCTCACACAGGGCACGCTCAAGAAACAGGAGCTGTTGTTCGGACGCTGATTATTAGAGGTGTCCCCCAAAGCAGCACCCTCATCCGAGAGCTGGGGGACCATGGTTCCAACTCAACCGCCCTCTCCTGGGTAGGCATGTTCCTTCCGGTGGCCCAGGTGTTAGCAGATGGAGCACGTACTCGTGGGGGCGGGGGGTGAGGCAGAGCCGGCCTCAGAACAAGGCCACCAGAACAAGAGCTTGTCTCAAGCCACACTCCCCAAACAGTAAGGCATCACACTTAGAAGGGCTCGGACGTCAGTCTGGCAGGAGTTTGGCTCCCACCTCTGCCTCCTCCCAGCAGTGAGACCATAGGTGAGCCATTTCCCCTCTCTGAGCCTCGATTTTCTCATCCGGAAAATGGGGATGCTATAGTATCCACCTGTAGGCTGTTTGAGGATTAAATGAGATTTTAGCCACTGGGCCAAGCCCACTGTAAGGACACAGTTAATAATGGCTGCAGCTGTCATTTTATTATTATCTGGTTTTTACATTGTGAGGCCTTAGGGGAAGCTGTGCTCTAAACCAGTGTGTTTAATCTGAGTTTTGTCCCAGCCGGGCCTGAGGCGCCTTGGGCCCATTCCTGCCCATCTCTGGGCCTCCAGGTGCGAGTTGGGGCTCGGGCCCCTGTCTGTGGACTTCCCGGCACAGGCCCTCTGGGCATGCGTACCAGGCGCTTCGTGAGTCTACCTGGATCATCCAGGGAGGAACGGGAGCCTCCCCCACTGACTGTTCACCGCACGCCCAAGCCAGGAATGAGTTTTGCAGCCACAGGAATGGCTGACGCCATGGATTTTTCAGGTTTTGCTCACGTCCTCTTTTTGTGCCTGTGCCTGGGAGCTGGCTTCTCATCCCCCTCCCCTCTCCCCAGCTCAAAGCCTCCCCTTCCCTGACTTGGCCTGACCTCCAGCCTGCAGGCCTCTGTCCCTGCAGTGCTGCCACCCAGGAACGCCCTCTGCTCTCCTCCATCATCTCTTCCTCTGAAGGGAGGGAAGTGGTGGTGGTGACACCAAGTGAATACTGCGGCTCAGATGAAACAACCTTGAAAACAGCACACGGCCATCCACCCCCCCACACACAACATACACACCCCCTCACTGGACGCGCAGGCTCACAACAGCCAGGCCTGCCTCACCACTGCCTCTGCAACTCCTGTGTCAGCAGAAACCAAAGCAGAAGGGGGCCTGGGTTTTGTCAGGGCTGCATGGCATTTTGTTTTCAAGGACGGTTTGGCCGTCTCTCCAGAGTTAGACAGGAGATCATTAACAGGCCTGGAACACGCCAGACCCTGTACTCCTTCTGTGAGCAGGGGCTTCTCTTCCCACAGCTGAAGCTAACGTGTGGACCCACACGGGGCCAGCGTTCTCTCAACCCCACCAGGGTGTCCTATTATCACCAGTCCCATTTTACAGTTGGGAAGATCGAGGCTCTGTCCATGAGTGTGACAAAGGAGAGCTGTGCATGCAATAGCAGGTGGGCTGGGTGGCATCCTGGAAGGCTTCCCAGAGGAAGTGGCACCTGAGCTTGGATCCGCAAGAGGGTGAGTGGTTGACTCGGAAAAATAGCCCTCCAGAGTGAAGCCACCCAGCCCAGGCCACACGGCACGTCACTGGGACGTCACGATGCCCAGCCCTGAGCAGTTCTGGGTAAACAGGTACCACGGTGTGTGGAGGTGTGGCGGTCTACACCTCAACTTGCTGTCAGCCACCACTGGGGGAGCTCCATGTTGAAAGTAGGGCCCACTGTTCAGCAGAGGTGATGGGGCTCGTGGAGGCGAAGGCTGGGGGACCCATGGGGCCTTGAGCTGCCACTTTGGACAGACATCTGCCTGGTTCGCAGGTGGGCACATGGCGGGGTATGCGGGGCCGGGGCAAGGACTTACCCATCCACACCTCTCCGAAGCAGCCCTGGCCCAGCTTGACCTCCAGCCGCAGCGACTCCCGGGGGATCTCCCAGGCGTCCTTGGCCAGGCCCTGAGTCTGTGGCTTGGACATGGGGCACACAGTGGTGAGGCGGTGGCACAGGCCGTCAGCGTGTTCTGAAGACAGAGGCAGGGAGGTGGAGTTCAGGCCCGGCGTCCGTGCTGGGGTCTCCGTGTCCCGCAGACTTACACGCTGTATGCACACAGGCTTCGGGGAGGCACGGGACACCCGCAAGGCCAGGCATCCATGCCTATGTGTACACAAGCGTCCCCAACACAGGCCCACACCGCCTCATGCATCTGCTCCCTGAGTCATTCATTCATTCACTCATCAGACTTTAAGCGGGGGCTACCTAGGCAGGTGCCAGGGACCCAGTGGAAACCTGCCCTCAGGGAGTGCATAGTTCAGGACGACACCCAACTTCCCTTAATCACCTCCGAGGACCATGAGTGTGACAGAGGAGAGCTGTGCATGCAATAGCAGGTGGGCTGGGTGGCATCCTGGAAGGCTTCCCAGAGGAAGCGGCACCTGAGCTTGGATCCACAGGAGAGTGAGTGGTTGACTCAGGAAAATAGCCCTCCAGGCAGAGGGCACGCTGCCTCATGCATGTGCAAAGGCCCTGAGGGAGAAATAAGCCCCTGGGTTGGAGGAACTGAAAGGAGGCCAGGGGGCTGCTGGAGAGTGACTGGGGGAAGGAGGGCCCCAGGTAAGGCAGGGAGGCCAGCCAGGTTTAGACTACCCAAGGCCTCAGAGGCCACATGGGCGTCTTTATCCTAAAATTCCAAGGTAACCCCTGGAGGGTTTTGATCTGGGGGAACGGGGTTCAGAATGAAACCTACAGTGGTGGCCAAGGGGACAGAGTGGGGTGGCAGATCCTAGAGGGAGTCGGGAGGCCTCAGGAAAGGCCACACCTGCACGCGCAGGCCACGGCCACGTGCCACAGGCCCACAGACACCCACAGAGAGCTGTCCACGTGGGAGCACCCAGGCCATGACACCTCAGTCCAGCCGGGCAGCCCTGAACATCCAGATGGATCGGCCACACTCCCGCACACTCGGCCTGGCCCGCGCTCACGACCTGCGCACGTGAGCTCCCCGCCTGCGCGCTCTCTCTCCCGCTTTCTGCTACAATCCAATCGCTCTCTGCTACAATCCAATCAATAGAGCCACCCCCTCCTTGTCTCCCGGTAACCAGTTCTAACTGGTCCTAAGGCTGCAGGGGCAAAGGACACCGGCCTATGCCCCCTCCTTCCCAGCTCACTCCTCCAGGCAGCCCCCTCCTCACCAGGCAGCTGCGGAGGAGAGAGGATAGAGTGGCAGGTTGGGGTGGGGGGAGGGAAGAGGGGAAACAGGGAAGAGAGGGCACAGGGAGGAGAGAAGGAAAAAAGAGGGGGTGGGAGGAGGGAGAAAGGGGAGAGGAAGAGGGGGGGAGGGGAACGGGAGCCCACATCCCCAGGGTGACAGAAGTCCTGGCCCTTCTTGGCCCCAAAGCCCCCTTCCTCAGGGTCTGCAGCTCATAGGATAGGCAGAGACCCCCGCATGCTCTCCGAGGGCCTACTCTCCCCTGCGCCCCGCTGGCCGCCCGGGAGACCTGCCCGGCACTCACTGGAGTAGTAGGCCACGAGCTGCTGCAGGCTGTTGAACTGGGTGCGGGAGGTGATGTAGAAGCCGCCGCTGTCCAGCTTGCGGATCTTGTAGTGCTTCACGTTGAGGCCCTTGGCGTTGTCGAAGTCAGACACTGAGAGGCAGTAGGCGCCTGCAGGGCAGGCCGAAGAGGAGCCGTGACCACCATGCCGGCCCACCGATGGGCCACGGCACCGAGCACACCTACCCAACACGGGACGGAAGGGAGGCACAGGCAGAGCCAGGTCTGGTCCAGCCTGTCTCTGAGCACCCAGTTCTGGGGCGGCCACTGGGGCAGAGCCAAAGGACAAAGGGGCACCTGACCGGAGAGCCTTTCCATGAACCCTTGGCCCTAGCAAGACCTCTGAAGCCCAGGTGTGCATACCAACTGTGTGACCTGAGCGAGTGGCTAGCCCTCTCTGGGCCTCAGTTTCCCCCGCTGCACAATGGGGCTACTTCCCGGGCTGCTGGGGAGATTCAATGAGACTACATATAAGAGGGCCTGACACACAGTAGGTGCTCGATAAATGCTGGCAGGGAGCCTAACAGGAATGGTCCCAAGTGGCTGTGTGTCCCTGGCCTAACTGCCTCCCCTCTGTGGGTTTGCCCACGGGCACACTGTCCGGGCCCTGCCCCTTCCTGAAGACTCCAGGCTCAGGCAGGAGCCAGTGGTTGGCTGAGGCTGGGGCGATCCTGGGCAGAAGACCACGTACTGGGTGTGGCCTGAAGGCTGCCAGAGCTAAGCTGGGCCAATCCCGATGGCCCCTCCCTGTTTCCCTTGAGCCTGGAAGAGCTCTGGGCTGGAAAAGTTTCCTTCTGCCCAACAGGCCTGGCTAAGCCTGAGCCTAAGAGATGCCTGGGGTGGCATCAGGGAACAAAGCTGAGCCCCAGGGGTAGGGGAGGAGGCTCCAGGGGCCAGAGAAAGCCTTTCTCGGGAAGCAGCACACAGGCATCATGCTAGAAGCCCAGTCCGCACAGCCCACAAAACCTCTGGACAATCCTCAGGTGGGGGTTACAATCTCCAGTGTAAAGAAGGGAAAATGAGGCCCAGAGAGGGATAGCAGCTAGCCTCAGGTCACCCAGCAAGTCAGGCACAGAGCTGGGACTTGAACCCATACCTGGGTCTCTAAAGCCTGCATTGGACAGCCATGACTTTCTACAGATGGCCAGGCCGTGTGCGTATAGAAGCCACAGGCCTGAGTCTAAGGCCAAGCCCTGACCACATGTGCACACACACAGACATGCCTGTGTCCAGTGGCTGTATGATCACACAGGTCCACACTCCCTAGGCCCTTGGGCACAAGGACAAACCCATAACAATTCACTCCCACACAGCAACCCACAGACAACTCCACCCCCATGTGTGCACACACATGCCTGGACCCACACACGGCATGCACAGCCACATGACCTCTCATAAATGCACACACATGACACGGATGCTCTGCCTTCCCATCTCCCACTGAGCCCCCGGCCCACAGGAAGCGGGAGCTTCGTAGCTATGGTGATGGAGAGTCTGCAACCCACGTGCGGAGGGGCTGGAGAGAAAGGGGTGATCATTCTCTGGTGGGGAGGAAGAACAGGAGAGGAAGAGAGGCCAGGACTGTTGGGGGAAGGGCAAAGCCAGGTTCCAGCACCCAGTCCAGCCCCTGAGGCCCCTAGAGAAGGGGAAGGAGAGGGGCCCATTGCATCAACACCCTCCCTGGGAACAGCCTTTTGCTCTGTGACCCTCAGACTCCCTGACAACCTGTGCCCATTCCTCACCTGAGGAACCTGAGGCCAGAGAGGCTGGCCTCTTTTGCTGCACCTGTTGCATCACCTTTTGCTGCATCTCTGGTCAACCCAGAGTGATTCAGTGTTCCTCAAATGGACCTCCCTGCCTTTGATCCTGTCTTTTTCTCTAGCTAGAGGGCTCTTCCCACCCCACTCCGTATACCAAACTCCTATTCATTCCACAATACCCGGCTCAAATAACCCACAAAAGGCTCAGTTCCCACTGGTCAGCAGAAGCACTCATACCTTTCGTGGTCTCACTTTCTCGCACTAGGAAGGTCCCTCTTGGGTTCTCCGCATTGAGCAGTAACCGCTCTGACTCCCGTCTGGTGATCTTGCCAAAGTACCACCTGGGGAGGGAGGTGGAAGGATGGTGCTGGTGGTCCAGGCTTCCGCCCACCCACAGTGCCTCTTCCTGGGATGTGGCTGGGGCCCTGGGCAGCCAGACCTCCCACTCTAGCCCAGGAGAGAAGCTCTGAACTGGCAGCGATGGTAAGCAAGCAGGAGGCCAGAGTCGATACTCACTCCTCGGCCTGGATGGAGTCGGAGGGTGCGACGTAGTTGCTGGGGATATAGCCCGTCTGTCCTGTGCTGAGTGAGTGGGCCAGCCACCAGTCTCCCTCTCTGAGCAGGGGGAGAGGGAGGGAGCAAAGGAGAAGGGAACCATCAGCAATGGAGCCCGATGCCTCTGCAATCTTTATAGGTGCTGTGCTGGGGGCTCTTGAGGCTGAGTGAGGTGCAGGGAACAGTGAGATCAGGCCTCTCACAGCTGCCAGGCCGAGGCGGCCTGGGACTCTTCCCCTCCCTACCCCAGATGCCTCTTGGCCAAAGCTGACTCAGATGACAAGGCCCGAATTCACGGGGCAGAGTCCTGGGACAGGAAGTGATCTGCTTTCCTTCAGATAGAACAAGCAGTCTCAAGATGCCAAGAGCCGCCTTGGGATTGAGGGAGGGAGTTCCCTGTCTTTGGGGAGCAAGCAAGTTGTAACAGGAGAAGATTCCTCCTGAGATGGATGTCAAATCAGACCTTCAAATCCTCCCCAAGTCCTGAGATTTGGAAGCCCAAGCCTGGGAGCTGGTAAGACCTGAGTGGAGGCAAGGGGTGGCTCTTTGGGGGCTTGGTGACAATCCAGGCGCCAACCCTGCAAACTGGAGCAATGCTTGCCTTTGTCACAGATCATGGGTCACACCCACAGGGCTCCTTGACTGAAAACTACAGGCCTCCTCCTGCAGCCTACCCATCTATGGGGGAAACTGAGGCCAGAGGGGGCTGGGACTTGCCCAAAGTCACACAGCGAGTCGTGTCAGAGGGAGCTGAGGTGGCAGAGCCCCAGTACCCAGGGCCCTCTACACTAATTGCCCCATGAGGAGGAGGTGATGGGGACAGGGTGATGGGCGGGAAGAGCCCCCGGCAGGGCGGGTCCCCTGGGTCTGGGTGGGAGTGGGGAGGGGGCAGAAGTACCTTTGCAGCCATCTGAATGTGAACCAGGTCTGGCTGGAGCGGGGGTCCAGAGACACAGAGGAGGGAGGAGAAAGCGAGAGCCCAACAGGAAAGAAGAGGCAGAAATGGGGGTGGTGAGAGAGAGAGAGGCAGAAAGAGCGAGGGAGAGAGCTGAGCGCCAGGCGGTGCTGGGGACGGGGGAGGGGGGACAAGGCGGGGCAGCCACTAGGGCCTCGCATCCAAAGCAATCCAAGGGGACAGGGAGAGGGTCTATGGGGAGGGAGGAGAGGCCAATGGGAAGGGCTGCCTGGGAAATAGGGTCCAGCCCCCTCCCATTCCCACTGTGCAGATGGGAAGACTGAGGCTAGAGAAGCAAAGGCCTCTGCTCAAGGTCACGTCAAGCAGCCAGGCCCAGGTTCCTAACTCCCAGATGAGAAGGAAGCCTTCCCTACAGGGTGCAGCAGGGCTTGATACCTTGCTGAGCTTCTCAATCCAAGGCTGGCTTTGACCTCATCACAACCCTGAGAAGACACAAGCAAGCAGGATGTGCTCCCCCACTCCCTATCACCGGGACACAAAGAGAGAAAGGCCCTTGCCCACAGCCACAGTCTGGACTTGAACCTGGATCCCTGGCTCCTGGTTTTTCTGAGCTGCCTCTGACCCATATTCTTCAGCCCATTTTGAAGATGGAGAAGTTGAGGCCGGGAGAGAGTGGGGCTGGGGGAGCTCTCTGAGAACAGGTGAGTACAGGTGAGCATCCCAGAGCCAGGGGCCCAGCCAGGTGGGCCGAGGCTCAACCAGAGAGTGTGGGTCCCGTCTGGATGGAGTGAGGTGAAGAGAGAGAGATTGGGGCTGTGCGGTCTGACTTGGCTGTGAGATCACCGCACGCATGCTCAGGCGGGGGCACAAGCTCACATGGGGGTCTCTGTGGGAGAGGGAGGGCCCTGGAGTAAGAGGGCGAGGCCCGCCTCAAGGAAAGAGCCTAAAGATGCCCAGGCCCTCCATCTACCTCTCTGTGTACACCCACATGGGGTGGGGGATCCACGCTTGTCTGTCCCATTTGACCCTCAAGGCCAACCTGCTAAGAAGGAAGGCAGGCCTCAGCCCCCCAGATGATGAAACTATGGCTCAGAGATGTCTAGGGACCAGCCCAAGGACACACAGCACCCAGGCTGGAGTAACCCAGCACTTTCTTTGTAAAGTTGGGGAAACTGAGGCACAGAGCGGGGCAGAGACTTCCCAAGGCTACACAGCAAGGACTCAAATCACAGGGAAGAGCTGAGATCTTCCAGTCCCAAGTCTTCATTTCACCAAGGGGGAAAATAAGGCATAGAGAAGGGCGGTGATTTGCCCAAAGCCACACAGCGAATCAACAGCAGAGCAAGGGTGAGAACCAGGGCCCCTGTGTGCCCACAGCCAGACACAGCAGGCCTCCTGGACCCCTGCACCCTCCCCAGGCCTCTCAGAGTCTCAGAGACCCTCAGAGAAACCAGAGGAAGATGGAGGAGGAGGCAGCAGGACTGGGCCGAGGTCTAGGTCAGAGGCTACAAAATGAGGCAGATTGACAAAGCCAGAGTGTGCAAGCTGGCTGGCCTCTGGGAAGCCCCCAGCCACCCACTCACAGTGGAAGGCCGGCAGGAGCTTGTGCCCAGGGGCCAACCAAGCAGGGCCCCAGAAGCAAGGGTGAGGGTTCAACTCTGCTGACACTACCCAGACTTCTGCCAGCAGAGCCTCCGCCTGCCTAACATCAGCCCATGTGTGAGTTTGGGCTCACAGTCCAGTTTGGGGGTTTTATTTCACAAGGGCAGGGATGGAGGTGCACTGCAATCTCACTAAGGATCCAAGGTCCACCTTCAGCCTGGCCCCAGCTTGAGAGGTACCTCAGAGCCTGAGCGCCAGAATCAGAGCGTCCTGGCGCCAGCCCAGCTCACCACTTGCAGGCTGCATTACCTTGGCCCTGCAGGACCTTGGTCCTCATCTGCAGGAAGGGGATACTCATGCCTCCCTCTGAGGATGTAAAATACCGGCACAGGGCCTGGCACATAGTAGGTGCTCAGCATGCATGAGCTGTTAGTATCTTGATTTGGCTAAAAAAAGAAAAGCAATTAAATCTGCAACTCTGTGGTACTCCTCCCCACTCTCCAAAATGTTTTTAAAAACCAAAGCAGCTCAGTTCCAGTCTCCGATAAGGATTTGCTGTGTGACCTTGGGCAAGTACCCTATCCTCTCTGGGTCTTAGTTTCCTCATCTGTAAAAAGGAGATAATATTCACAAAATCTCCCGTGCAGGCAAAGTGTGTAAATCAGTCAGCTTCAAGCCAGGCTTTGGGTAAGCTGATTACTGTGATTATCTTCTGAGCCTCAGTTTGCCCACCTGTGAAATGGAGATATCAAGCCCCATCTTCCCATGTCAACGGTCTGGGAGGCTCAAACCTGCCTCAGGTGGCTGTGAGCTGTCTCAGCCAAGGACCAGGGACTGCCCTCACAATGAGGGGCCCCACAGCTTCCCAGATCAGTCCAGTCTGGTGGGGATACCGATCTGCGCCCGGCTCAGAAGTAAAAGCGGTGTAAACCTAACAGGTTGAGCAGATGTACTGCATCTGGCGCCTTCCCTAGGGCCTGGTTCCTATCAGATAGGCAGGAAGAGGGAAGGAAGGGAATCACACATTCCCTGCCTGACCCCTCACCTTCCCACATGTGGCAAGAGGAGAAAGCACTGGACCAGGAGTCCCCAAGCAACAATTTTACATCCCAACTGCTGTCACTAGCTGTGTGACTTCACGCTACTGACCTCACCTCTCTGAGCCTCAGGATCCTCTTTTTGGAGCCTAATCCTTGTGGGTAATTCAGGCTGGCGTGTGCATTGGGAGTGTGGCAGCTTTGGAACCTGGGACATTATGCCCCGTGGGTCCTTCTGTTTAACTCATTTGGGCTGTTGGGACTGGCCAGAGGAGCCGTTTGGGGATTACAGGCAAGCCAGGGCAGCTGGGTACGGCCCAGGCAGTCAAGTTTCCGAGCCCTGAGGCCTGGACCCATGGTTGGTGGGGAGAGAGCAGGGTGAGGCCAAGGCAAGTCGTGTGAGGAGGGCCGGAAGGGGTCCCTCACCCCATGGTGGGAAGTAGAACTGGAGTGCCCAGGGCAAGGGGACAGAAGCCAGTGCCTGCTGGAGCACTGCCCCAGAGAAGCTGCTGGAATCATCTGGGTAGGAGGAAAGGGCAATTTAGGAAGCATCCCAGAGTCAGACCCAGAGGGGCTCTGACTCCTGAAGACTTAGACACCAGGGCAGGGGCTCAGGGCAGTCACACCTCAGACCCCAGTGGCTTCCTCGGACCCAAGACCACACAGCACCCAGGATTCCAGGAGCAGAACCGTTTGGCATGGAGATCCAGGGAGTGCGGGCTCCAGGCTGCTACTGTGAGGACCCCAACCCAGCCAGCCCTGGCCAAACCCCAACAGACAGGCTCAGCCTTAAGCTCTCCCTCCCCGACTCCCAGCCCAGTCACAGGTTAGACTCAGAAAGTCCTTCATTCCTACAGGGAGCGGGGTTGGAGCAGGGGGTTCACAATAATAGACCTTAAGCAATAACAGTGGAAGGACATGCAGGGTGGTCCCTGGGTGAGGTATGAGACATGAGCACCTCAAATGTGGGTGGCCCATCTTCCACTAAGCCTCTCGCCCCCATCCCATTATCCCTCTTCTTCCTCTAATGCCAGCCCCCAACTCTCCCAGAGGAGCAGCTGAGCTTTGCGATGTGAGGAAGGGTTCCCCATCCACTCCCACCCTCCCCCACCCTCCAATCGGGGTGCCTCACTGCCACCCACAGTGATGGAACTCCATCACTTCCTGGCAGACCCCAGCCCATCATGGAAGGCAGGAAGAAGGAAGGGAAGGGGCTGGACAAAGGAAGATGTGAGGGCTGCCCTCTGGCTCTGGGTGAAAGAGGCAGAATCAAAGTTTTGAGAGCTTTGCTCAAGCTGTGACCCCCTGAGACACTCTTCCTATTGTTGCTGGTTGAGATCCTCCAGTACTTCAAAGCCTCTAACCTGAGGCATCCTCCCCAGCTCAGGCCCTTCCCTCCTCCCGGCTCCTCGGCACCTCCACAGAGCTCCTCTTCCAAGGGCTCGGGGTCATGCCTACCCCTCCCAGCTCTGCCACTACTAGCTGTGTGACCTTGAGCAAGTCACTTCACCTCTCTGGGCCTCAGTTTCCTCATCTGTAAAATGGAGCAAGTAAGCATTTCCACTTTCCAGGGCTGTGGTGCTGTATAAATAAAACAACGCAACTGCTCTGCACGAGAACAGGCCCACACTCGAGGCACGAGAGACGGGGGCTATTTTATGACTGTTCACTCATCTCATGCAAAATCACCACCCGGGCACCCACAGTGTGCTGAGCAACAGGTGATGGGGGACCCAGAAACATGGCAGGCCCAAGAGCAGCCCTCAAGGAGTTCCCAGTTTGAGGGGAGGGAGATACAAACAGCCGGAACCATAAGAGAACTGGAGCGGCATTGGGACTCAGACAGAAGCGGGTGGGGGGAGCTGGGAAAGCCCCCTCCCTCCGGGAGAGCAGCTTAAGGAAGGGAGAGAGCTGCTGCCCAAGTTCCAATCCTGGCTTTGCTACTTGGTAGCTGTGTGACCTTGGACAAAGGCCTTCACATCTCTGAGCCTCAGTTTCCTCATTTGCAAAATGGAGATGGCCCCTCCCCCATCACTACAGCCCTGGTGGGAGGGCAGCAGAGCAAATACAAGGACATGGGTAAAAATGCCTGCTACCTCTTTTCCCCTTTGCCTCACAAAGGGGGCAGTTCTGAACTGGATCTTGAGGGATGAATAGGAGTTTGCCAGACAGAGATGGGAGAAAGGGTGCTTTAGGCAGCGAGAACGACATGCACAAAGGGCAGGGAGGCATGAAGAAGCAAGAAATGCTTGGAGACGGTGGAGACGTCCAACCCCCTTAGCCAGGCCTTCGAGGATGCTCATGGATCGATTCTACTCTACCCTCTAGAACCTTCTCGCCCTTCTGCAGCCCTGAAGGCCACCAGTCCCCTCAAGCGCTGCACCCTCCCACGAGCTGCCTTTCTGCGAGGGGAACCGCCTTCTTCCACTCCCTCCATCCCCTCGACTTCACTGTGCTTCCTGCAGGGTCCTGCTTGAAACTCCCAGGCCCTGTGGTCGCCATCAGAGGGGGGTCACACAGCAGGGGCCCTAAGGCCTGAGCTGACCCCGGCCCGGCCCTCTGCCTGCCACTTGGCCTGGACTGGGGCTGCATCCCGGCCACGCTCTGGCTCCAGGAGGGCATGGCCTTCTCCACCCAGACCTCACTGGGCCCAGCACTGGACCCTGCATGCAGCTGGCACTCAGTGTGGGCTGAACAGGGAGGGGATGGGTTAGCATGAGGTGGACGGGGAGTGACAGGGGTGATGGGAGGGCCCTCCCCATTCGCAGCCTGGGATTAAAGTAGGGATCTGGTCAAACTATTGGGGGTGAGGACAGAAGCTGGGGAAGCGCAACCAAGGGAGCCAGAGACCATATGAAGCACATGCCAGCGGCAGCCCACCCCACCAGTGAAGCGCCCCTACCCAGCCCGCCGCCCACGGAGTGTGTACACACCTGACATCCACCTTCCTCCTAGGGCCAGCGAGAGAGAAGCAGAGAGGGAGAAGCTGAGAGAGAGCTGGAGGGAGGAAGCACGGGCCAGGAATGGGGAGGGGGTTCCCCGAGGCTGTTGGGGGGATGGGAGGTGGCGGAGAGGGGACGCAGGCCCTCGGAAGGCAGGAATGCAGCAGGCGTGGAGCTGTAGCCCGCCCTCTGTCGGCAGCTCCGCCCTCTGTCGGCAGCTCCGCCCCCAGTGTGATCACCCCAGCTGTGACCACCCCAGGGCTCATGACCCAAAGCCTGCACCCCCCCACCCGCCATGACAGGCGTTGCACCCCACCTCACTGCACTCTAGGCAAGGAAAGGAGGGGAGTGGGGAGGAGGGGAAGGACGCCACCCTATGGCCAGAGCCTCACCCACCCCTCGCCAGTTCACTATCCCTGCTCACAGGGGCCCCCAAGCCTGGCAGGGGCCCCCATCCCCCCCATACGCCAACTTGGCCCTAGGATGCCCCACCCCAAGGCTGGAGTCCCTGGAGGTGAAGCAGAGATGCCCACCAGGGTGCCCCGCCCTCCACACCCTATCGCACCATCTCACCCCCTTGCCCTATCCTGACTCCTCTCACACTGGGTCCCCAGGATGGGTCCCCCAACCCTCCCAATGAGGGCCCTCCCTCTACAGCTGCAGACTCTGGCTTTACTGGTTGCCCAGGCTCTCCAGCCTCTCTGTGGGCACAGCCTCCAGCTCCACAGGCCCTGCTTTTTGTAGTCCTGGGTCCCCTGCCCAGTCCTGCACTGATCACACGCCCCCGTGCGGGTTCTGGGATCTGGAGTGCTGTGCCCTGCTGTCCAGTTACGGACCCAGATTGCTGTCCCTGGAGCCGTCCCAGACCCCCGACCACCGGCGCCTGCCTCATCACCCCCAGAGGCCCCAGGACAGTTCCCTGCACCTCAGCTGCCTGGACACCCAGCTCTGCCTGCTGCCCGTGAAGCTGGCCCTGGGACGCTCAGAAGTGGCTCTATCCCAAGACCAGGCCCAGGGTTGGGGTCCTGAGGGGCAGTGGGGTAGGGAGGCACTCACGTGTTGTTGACAATTTGGAGCCGCTCCCCTTTCTTGAAAGACAGGTCGGTCTCTGTCCGCGACTCATAGTCATAGAGGGCCACAAAGGTGGTCACTCCGCCTGCACAGAAGGTGGGGCGTGTCAGAATGGCCAGAGCCATGGCTGGGGGGAGAGGTGGACAAGAGAGCCCTGCACCCTGGGCGGGGGTGGGGTTGGTCTCCCACTGCCTGCCCAGAGGCCTGGTCCCATTCACTGGGGGTGGGCCTCTACGCATGTCCCCCTGTGCCTGTGTGTCCCGCACGCTTGTGAGGCCGTGTAGGAAGCACGCGCGTCTCTCCACCTCTGAGTGCGCCCACTGGGCTTGAGGGGATGCTGGGTGTTGGCTTCTCTGTTTGCTATCTGTCTTCCCCACAGCACCAGAAGTCCCCAATAACAGACATCTTTGTTTTGTTCCTCGAGCCTGGTGCATAGTACGTGCTCAAGAAACAACCATTAGATGAATGAAGCAGTGAACGAAGGAAACTGCACCTGGGGACGTGGCTCTGTTCTGGGGAGGTATGACTCTGGATGCTTCTGTGTGTCAGGGAAGATCTTGGCTGCAGGTAACTGTCCCCTCCGAAGCCTTCTCTGTCCCCCCGTGTGAAGTTACAACCTCCAGCCATACATCCACCAAGACTACTCCCTGCCCGTTTTGCTCTTTCACAGCAGTTACCACCCACTAACACCCTGCACAGTTTACACACCTTGCCCTTTGCTTCTCTCCCCCACAGGGGTTTTGTCTGTTTTACACGTTGCTGTGACCCCCGCACCAGAAGAGACCTGGCACACAGAGGGGGCGCCACAGCTGTCTCTTGAACAAACGAATGGGTATGTTTGTGGGTCTGTCTCACTGGGGTGTGTGTCTGTGCCTGTGTGTTCTCACTGCACATATGTGCACCTGTGCGTCTGTGAGTCTGTGGGTCTCTGGGATGGCATTTCTAGCTGGGCACGTGTGTGCTTTTGAAGGGCTTCTGACCACATGTGTCTGTCTCCATCTGGGAGTATGAGGTTTTTTGCATATGTGTGTTTGTATTTGTGTACATTTGCCTTGGGTGTGTGTCTGTGCCTGGAGGGTGCACATCCATGTGTCCCTGAGTGTGTCTCTATGTGCATGGTGTGTCTGTTTACGAAAGCGTCTCTAGCTCAGCACGTGTAAATGTCCTGTATGGGTGCCTCTGAATGAGTTGCTAACTGTGTGTGAGTGTGTTTATGTGTGGGGGGGGGGGGTCTGTGTGAGGGTGTCCGGGTAAGAATGCACATGTTTGTGTGAGGGTCTTATATCTGTGTGCCTCCAGGACCACATCTGCATCTCTAAGCATCCTTTGCCTGGCGCTGCTATACCCACAAAGCGCCAGCAGAGGGTGCAGGGGCGCATCTCGGCATTGGGCCGGGCCTCTGAAGACCCCAGTTCTCTTTCTCCGTTCTAACCCGCCCCGCCCCCTTGGCCACTCACCGCCTCCTGTCCTGATCCATCTCTGGGCTGACCAGAGCAAAAAGCAATGCCTCAGACCCGTCCCCGTGCTTCCGAGAAACCCCCCGGCTCTCTGGCCTGTTTCCGCCTATAGTCCTATGTCTCTAGGGCCCTTTATACGCTACATCGGATTCACCCCTAAAGGCAATGGAGTGTGCACCACACTTTCCAGTTTATAAAGCCTCCAGGAAACTCCCAATGGTCCCTAAAGCCAAGTAACCCCCAGACTCCTCCCCGTCACTGAGCGAAAGAAACAGCAGCCCAGAGAGGGGGCGTCGCTCCCCCAGGGCACACAGCCCTCCTGGGGGAGGGGCCAGGGCCACCCGGCTCCCACACTCCCAGGCGCACTGACCAGCCAGGGGCCCCGCCCTCTGCGGGGAGGTGACTGTGTCGGAGGAATTGAAACCTCCGAACAGCTTGGGCTCAGCGGCTGCAGGGGCGAAGGCCGTGCTGGGGCCCCGGTGTCCATCAGCGGAGGCCGGCTTGCTGGGGGTCTGTGAGGTGGGGAAGGCACCCCCGCCGCCGCCGCCGCCGCCGCCGCCGCCACAGCCGCCATGGGTGTTATCAGCAGGTTCCAGGCTGCGGCGCCGCTGGCTGGCATCTTTGGGCTTGCTCTTGTTGCTGCCCATGGTCCTGCTGGAGACGAGAGAGGACCCTGGGTGAAGGGCTCTGGGAGCCGGCAGGGTTGCCTAGGCCCCTTAGCCTGCACTCCCATCCATTCTACAGATGGGGAAACTGAGGCCCAAAGAGGTCTTTTTGGGTAAGTTACCTTTCAGAACCTCAGTTTCTCCATCTGTAAAATGGGAATAGTGATGGCAACCATAAAGGGCTTCCTGGGTACAGGGCCAAGCACAGAAGAAACACATCATAATCAGAAGCCCTAACCTTCCCCACCTTCCTCTGAGTCACTGTTTCTGTCTCTCATGGGTAGGGATAGTATCTTGAGTGATGTCTATGTCCCAGGCATATAGGAGAAGGCTGAGGGTTTGTTGAGTGAATACATGACTGACTGAAATTGTCTAACACCGGGGGAAAGGTGCTAAAAGTTGCAACTAGGGCAACTAAGGAGAGATGGCTGGGAGCTCACTCCAGGCCCAGGGCCTTTGCACATGCTGGTCCCTCTGCCTGAATGCTTTTCCCTGACCACTTGAGCAGAGTAACTCATGCCTCCTTCAGTTCTCAGCCCAAACGTTGCCTCCTTGGAGGCAGCATGTGGCAGGTGGGAAGGAAATGTTTAGGGGTGATGGATTATCTTGACTGTGCTGACGGTTTCATGAGTGCATCCATGTGTCAAAACTTATCAAACTGCACACCTTAAACATGTGCAGTCTGTGGTATGTCAATTATACCTCAATAAAGCTCTTAAGGAAAAAAAAGTCACCTCCCTGGGAAGTGTTTCCCAACTTCTTTCACCAGTTTAAGTCCCCTTGCCTTTTGTGCCTCTCCTTGATAACATGTGGCCCAGTTGTGTGTGTGTGTGTGTGTGTGTGTGTGTCTGTGTGTGTGATTACATGATTATCGTCATGGGCTTTTGTCTGTCTAGTTCACTGCTGTGCTCCCAGTACCCAGCACAGGGTATGGCACACAGTAGGTGCTCAATAAACAGCTGAATGAATGAGTGTGAATGTGTGACTATTCAATAGTTAAGAGAGTTCTAAGCCAGAAATCTGGGAGGGCTAGAGATCGGGAAACACAGAGAAACCCAAGCTGCAAACTCCCCAGTGACGCCCATAGCCCTGCCACCCCCCCCCCTTTGCTCCCCACGTTGCCATCCGCAGGTCCTCATGGAGCCTAGCCAGGGTCTCCCCACACACCATGGCCGCCCCTCCCAGCTCCCTCATCTTGGCAGCCCTGATGGGTCATCACCTCACCTGGTGCAAGGCAGGGGCTATCCCAGAGGACCTGGGAAGCAGCCTGAGGTCTCAGCACGAACACCAGGCGTAGAGTCGGCGGTCTCGGACTAGAGGCCCTGCTCTACCTCTCCCCGCTGTGTGACCCTAGGCAAGTCACTTCCCCTCTCTGGGCCTCATCTGCAAAGTAGGGATAAAACAGATTTCTCAGAACTGTTGGGAGGATATGACTAGAAAGAGAAATCATCAAGGCTCTGTCTCTTGGGTCATGATTTATCAGGCTCTGACTCTGGCAGGCCTGAGACTAAGGGCTTCCCAGACCTGAAATATCCTTCACTCCCCCAAAAGCAAGAGTGAGAGTGAGGCCGTGTACGGCCCGGCATAGTCTGAAGCCAGACTCCCCAGGCTCAGATCTTGGCTTTGCCCCTAATCGGCTGTGTGACCTCAGGCAAGTGACTTAACTTCCCTCTGCCCCGCTTCTTCACCTGGAAATGACTGTGACAACTGAAGGAGGCAAGGCAGAGTGCTGGGAACACAGTAGGTCACCCTGCCACATCAGCTATTACCGATACTGTGATTCTGGACACACTGGCGATATGAGCTCCGATTATTCTCCAGGGGATGCTGCAGGCCCTGAAATCAGTCCAGAACTTCCTCTGGGAACCCGTGAATGGGCAAAAGTCCCCTTGACTGGCTGGGGCCTCAGGCAAGACTGTTTGCCCTGAGCGCCAAGCCCGGCTCTGTGACACCCCTCCCTATGTGAACATTAGCCAGTCCCTGTAACCCTCTGGGCCTCAGGCTGCCCGCCTGCACAATGGGGGCGTGGCCTGCATGCTCCCTGGGGGCCATCCAGCTCAGAGAATGTGGGGCTGGGGAGGCCCTGGGGAGACCTGCTCAAGGGATATGCCAACAAGCCTAGGAAGGCCAATTTCTACGGCAACCCAATCCGTTGAGGTCACGATGCCCATCAGCGCTCATACAGTTGGTGTCCTGTGGGATCTACTAACCCGGTTACCCACAGCCCCAGGCTCGATGGAGGCTGAGCCCCAACCACCACATCCCCACCCACCTGCTCCCTGGTATAGTATTCACAGCACCAACTGTACAGCAAGCCCTCTGCCAGTCACCACAGGGAGACACAGAGATGAGCTGGCCAGGTCCTGCCTCAGAGGGTGCATGCTCTAACAGGGGACTTGTTTGTGGGACTTTGAGAGGAAATGAAAGTTATAAAAACACATTAAAAATATTTTTTAAATTTTAATGAAGAACTTTCTAAGAGCCCAAACTTTCTTTAGAATGAACTAAATGATGAAGAGTGAGCCCCCTGTCACTGGAGGTGATCAAAGACAGGAGAAAGTATACTTGGCTAATGTGCCATGGAGGGGGAGGGAAAGCCAGGGCTGGAAATTGAAGGCCCTTCCAGCACGAAGAGGATGCATTTGCCCACTTGGGAGGGGGCAAAGAAAAAAGCTCTTGACCCCTAAGCTCTTACACTAACCCAGAAGACCACTCCCCACTGAGACACTCAGAAAAACATAAGAGGTCCTTCAAGACCAGACTAAGGTGGCCCAGGGCCTCTGCTTGCAATGTTTGTTGGTTTGTGGGGTTTGGGTTTTTGTTTTGGGTTTTTTGGGTGTTTTTTGTCCTTGTGGTTGATCCTGATTATATAAGTACCACCTGTTTGTGGAGAGGTGGGCAGGTCGAGGTTAAGGGCCAGAGTACTGGAGCAGACTACCTGTGTGTGAATCCCAGCCCTACGAGCCCAGTGTGGGACCCTGTGCCTCAGTTTCCTTCTCTGTCAACTGAGGATAACAACAGTACCCATGTCATAGGGCTGCTGGGAGAATCCATGAGGAAGTACACGGAACATGCTTGAGATGCTGTGGCACGCTGGCAACCTGCCTCCAGTGGACAAGCCCCTGGGCATGGCGGTGCATTTCCTTCCGGCATCATATGAACATAGGACTGTATATTGGGATCCATCTAGTGCCCTTGACTCTAAGCTCCCTGCGGGAAGGACCGGGTCGGACCCATCTCCATATCCCTACTAGGTGCTCTGAAATATTTGCAGAATAGACAAAAGACTAGATGAGCACAGACATGATTTGCATCCTGCTTTGTTCCTGCAATGCCATGTTGTAGAGACCAAGTATCATTCTGCAATATTCAAACACTCCCAGAGCCTGGACCTTGTACTGGGCCCTGCTCTAAGCACTTTGCAAATATTGACTCATCAAATCCCCATGATAATCGAGGAAGTAGATACTAATAGTGTCCCTATTTTACTGATGAGGAAGCAGAAGCACAGAAAGGTTGAGGCACCTGCCTGAGATAACACAGTGAGGGTGAGAATGAAAAAAAGTGGGGACATGAAACCACACTGGGCCGCAGGAATCAGGGGCTGCTCACAGGGTCCACCTCCTGCCCTCTGGACCTCTCTTTCACATGAACAGCAAGATGGGGTGTGAGTGGATAAGGCAGCCTAGCCCCATTCCTACAGAAAGCCCAAGATTTCAAGCTTTGATATAGCAGAGTGTGCTAGAGGAGGGACAGCACATTTAGGGTGGGATCTAGTCCCTGCAGGGCTGCCGCTGTGCTGTGTGACCTGAGAGAGACCGTCCTTCCAGACCGTGGTCTCCTTTCTTGAGGCAGGACCCTGTCTCAGAGCCCAAACGCTAAGTCACCATGAGCTGCCCATTTGAGAAGGGACAACTCCCCACATCTTTTCCGCCACTTGCTCACTCCAAGGCAGAGATATATCCTTGGGTTCCAAGAGGAAGTGGGGGGGTTCCATACTCGGGGTGTCTGAGGCTCCCAGAGGAAGGTAGCCCCTTTCCTCTGGGGAGCTGCTGCTGACCACAGGATCCGGACAGAAGGCCTGAGCTATCGCTACCGTGAGAGGTACTGGGATGCCCTATAGCACCTCCCCATCAGTGTCCCCAGCGCTTCGTGCTCAGTGGGTCCCAAACTAACTTGGCATCTCCCTCTACGACTTCCCCTCACCCCATGTCTCCATCTCAGGGCTGGTTCGCCCGTCCTCCCCGCCAATCTTCCTCAAATGCATCCCTCCCCACACCCCATCTCCACTCCCTCAGGCCAGGCCCCTGTCGTCCTGACCTGGGACAGCAGTGGGGGGCCCTCCAGGGCGCCCTCGTCCAGCACCCAGAGGCATCTCTGTAACGCACACAAACAAATAGGGCCCCTGCTCAACACTGTTCACGGAAAACTGGAAAAGACCTAAGTGTTTATCAGAGGGGGACTGGACAAATAAATGCTGGTCTGTTCATCAAGTGGACAGCTGTGCAGATAAACAAACAGAATGAGAGCTCGGTGTGGCCTGGAAGATGCTCACAACACACTATTAAGTGAAGAGGAAGATGGCAGTGTAGAACGTCCTCTGGGCCACTCGGGGCCACAGTTTCCTCATCTAGAAAATGGGGGCAATAGTGCTACCTATGTCAAAGGGTTGGTGAGAGGATTAAAGAGAATGCAGACAAGGCCTTAGTGGGGTGCCTGGAACGTAGTATACATGAACTACAATTATTTCTGTAAAGAAAATTAGCACGTGAATGTGTATGTGTGTGTATGTGCAGACGTGCACACACGTGCCGTAAGGTTTAGAGAACGTTCTGGAAGGAGTCCAAATTCTTCACAATATTTAATCCAAAAGTTCCCCATCATCCCCCTCTGGATGAGGCCTAAACCCTTCAGCTGGGTCCACGCGGCCCTGTGGAGCTGGGGCTGTGGCCTCCTCCCGTGGGCCCCCTACAGGAGGGCACCACACTCTCTCACCTCCTGGCCTTTGCCTAGGCTATGCCCCTAGGCACAGCTACTTACAACATCCAGAAGAGTCCAGAAAAAACTGTAGTTCAGTCAGGTCATACCCGCTCCTTCCTTCCTGACTCTAAAGAAGGTCACCTCCACCTCTTCTAAGAGTGGAGGGAGGCCAGGAGCTTAGGAGTTGAGAGTGACGACTCCAGTCAGACCTGGTTCAAATCCTGGGTCCACTATTTACTAGCTAAATCTTCTTGGGCAAGTCACTTCACCTCTCAGTTTCCTTACCTTTAAAATGGGCGTAATAAAAAGGAATGAAATTGAGTTATTTGTAGTGAGGTGGATGGACCTAGAGTCTGTCATACAGAGTGAAGTAAGTCAAAAAGAGAAAAACAAATACCGTATGCTAACGCATATATATGGAATCTAAAAAAAAAAAAAAAAAAAGGTTCTGAAGAACCTAGGTGCAGGACAGGAATAAAGACGCAGACGTAGAGAATGGACTTGAGGACACAGGGTGGGGGAAGGGGAGGCTGGGACGTAGTGAGAGAGAAGCACTGACATATATACACTACCGAGTGTAAAATAGATAGCTAGTGGGAAGCTGCTACATCACACAGGGAGATCAGCTCGGTGCTTTGTGACCACCTAGAGGGGTGGGATAGGGTGGGTGGTAGGGAGGCTCAAGAGGGAGGGGATATGGGGATATATGTATATGTATGGCTGATTCACTTTGTTATACAGCAGAAACTAACACAACATTCTAAAGCAATTATACTCCAATTAAGATGTATAAAAAAATGACAGATAATAAACAGATAAAAAAATAAAATGGGGTTAATAATAAACTTAACATCCGAGAATTAAGTGAGAGTCCATGTGCCAGGCAGAGAATAAGTGCTTGATAAACAGCGCTCACTGTTGTTTGCTGTTATTACCGTTACAGGTGACAAGAGGAGCAACGCAAGAGGAAGCAAGAGTTAGTGGCAGGGCCTTGAATGCCAAGCACAGAACTGAGCACGTTGCACGCAGTTGATACTCAATTGTCCCCACAGCACAGTGAAGTAGGGACTATAACTACATCCACTTTACAGATGGGACCAAAGTTCATGGAAGCCAAAACCTTGCCTAAGGCCATACAGCAAGTGAGTGCAGCAGAGTTGGGATGCTCGAGGGTCAGGAGAGTACAGTCAGAAGGCACCTCTGGTGCCCTGCCCACTGTGCTGATACCCTCCCTGCCCCAGGTACCCCCACCATTCCACCATCTCCACCTCCCTAACACAGAGGCAACACAGGTCAGAGGTCAACCTCCGACATCACCATCCATATCTCTGGACCCTCCAAGAAAGAAGAAGCATCATGGAAAGCCTGGAGCCAGAATGCCAGGTTCAGATGCCAACTTGCCA